TTCCTAATACATGTTTGATAATTAACTTTTGTATACAAATACATATCTTGTCTGCTTAGTAATTAGTATTTTTAATCTTATTAAATTATTTTTAGACCTTTTTTTCTTCATAGACTTTAAATTGATAATATATCATGTTGTTGCTCCGACGTAGCACAACATTATAATTAATATTCTTCAAGAATATTACTTGCTCTTGAAGAGCATAAATTATAATTTTCAATATTTCAGAAAGATACTGACACATTGTTCTTGAAGAAGCAATAATCTAATACAATGTGCTCCATAAATAGCACATGTTTCAAAAAATATAATATTTTAAATTAGTGTTTATCTCTAAAGAAAAACAAATAACTTATATCATGTTGATATTGACTATTTGATATTTAATCATATTTTTCGAAACTAATTGTATTTCTTTTTTGCTTTATTGTGTAATTAATCAAATAACAAATATCACAAAACTTTAGTTTGCTGCACTTGACATATCTGACAAAAACTATTTGTCATGGGTACTCGATATCGATATCCATCTCGTCTCAAAAGGTCTATGAGAGGCAATAAAAGAAGGAAATAAAGAATTCCTATAGGATCGTGCAAAAGCACTAATCCTCCATCATCATCATCTTCAAGATGGATTGAAATTGATTATCTTACTCTGAAAGATCCACAGGTTATTTGGAAAAAAATTAATTGAAAGATTTGATAATCAGAAGACTATAGTCATCCCCAAAACCAGCTATGAGTGGATGCACCTTCATTTACAAGACTTCAAAATTTGTGTGGAGAAAAATAATTGATGAAGATATTTTGGAGAAAACGTTTTCCACCTTTCATGGCTCTAATGTGCTCCTGCAGCAGTAATATCGTGAGCATAGTTTCAAACGGTACTCAAAACTAATATCTTGCTTGCTTGTGGCTGAACAAAGTAATGAATTGCTGGTGAAAAATCATGGGTTACGTCCAACTGATTCTGTACAATTGCATGAAACAAATGGTACTGCATTGCCTGAAGCAAATAAATATCAAGACAAGGACGTGGACGCGGACGCGGATGTATCGTGGAATAAATCATGGACAAAATAATCAATAGAATTATCAGCAACAAAACAATAATTTCAATAGGCATAAAGCAAACGAAAGTAATGCATCCAAAAAGGAGTATGAAGAAAGTTGCTTTCAATGTGGAATGAAAGGACATTGGGCACGTACCTGCTGTACGACAAAATACTGTGTGGATCTCTACCAAAAATCAATCAAGAGAAAGAGAAAAGTGGAGACAAATTTTGCTAATTATGACGGTCCAATTGATGTGACTCATTTGGATGTTTCCGATTTCTTTACTGATCCAAATGAGAATATTGACCTTTGATTGGTGATGATATGATGGAAGATATAGATTAGTTTACTTTCAAATATTTCATTTCGTTTTAGAAATTCAATTTGAAATGTATTCCTACATTTAGCTAAAAATGAAACTTTATTATGCATAGTTAATTTCATAAAATTGAATTATGTTTACTCCTTTAAATTTAAATTCAAATTTTTAAAAATATTTTTGTTTTATTATAGATTCACGATGGATTTTCAATACATTTGCTTGATTGATAGTGCAACTACACATACTATTTTTCAAGACAAAAAATATTGTTTGGACTTAACATTATATAAATTAATGTTAATACGATATCAGGTGTATCGAATATTGTTGAAGGTTTCGAAAGAGCTATATTATATTACGAAATAATACAAAATTATATATTGAAGATGCACTTTATTCTACCAAATTCACAAGAAATTTTCTTAGTTTTAAAGATATCCGCTGCAATGGATATCATATTGAGATGATACAAGAAAATAATGTTGAATATTTTTGCATAACTTCTTTTGTATAGATGGCTAGAAGCAGATAAAAGAAAAACTTCATGCACTCTCATCTGACATGTATTATACATTTATAAAAATGGTCGAATCAAATATTATAACGAACTAGAAGTTCATTGATCCAAATTTTTTTATACTTTTGGATGATTAATTTGGACATACAGGAGCTATAATGATGCATCGAATAATAAACAACTCACATGAACATTCTTTAAAGAATCATAAGATTCTTTTACCTAATGATTATCCATGTGTATCTTGTTCGTAAGGCAAATACACCCATAATGTGGACCATTTCGTTATTTTATGATATTAACGTTTTCCTACTTTTCCACCAGGGATGTAGTTTTTGTTAGACTACTTACTCAAGTTATAAAATTACGGGCGCAATTCCTCGATTACTCAATCAATATTAATTGTCTTGAAAATGCTGATGAATTTAGATCACAAGCATTCGATAATTATTGTATGTCAATTGGGATTGTTATTGAATATTCGGTTGTGCATGCCCTTACACAAAAATAGTTTAGCGGAGTCATTTATTAAACGTATACAACTTATTGCTAGATCATTACTTATAAAAACAAAGCTCTTAACTTTTGTTTGGGGTCATGCCATATTACATGCTGTATCATGGGTTCGTATCAGACCAACTGCATATTATCAATATTCACATTTGCAACTGGCATTTGGTCATGAACCTAATATTTCTCATCTGCGAGTTTTTGATTGTGATGTTCAAGTCTCCATTTCACCCCTACTACGGGCTAAAATGGGGTCCTCAATGAAAAGTTGGGATTTATGTGGGTTTTGATTCACCATCTATTATTAAGTATTTTAAACATTTAACATGAGATTTATTTAGTGCATGTTTTGCAGATTATCATTTTGATGCAACGACTTTCCCAATTTTGGGAGAGGAAAAAATATATCCTGATAAACAAGGTAAAAGCAACACTTGTAGGTGGATTAACTCATTAAATACCTTCCTCGTACATATAATCCTTGGCAAACATATATACATAAAGAATTAGATTTCTTGAAACAAACGAAAATGAAATGAAAGATGATGTTGCTGCCATTTTGAAAGGATTAAGAAGCACCGAAGTTCACATCCAAAAAAAAAAAAAAATCGTAGACATTGTATGAGTGTATCATAACTAAATTACTTGAATGTTGTGTAAATTCGGATTGAAGTCACCTGCTGAAGCTGAATCCTTCTCTTTCCTTTGTTCTTCCGCAACTCTTTGATTTATTAGACGAATCAAAATCCACAGTCTCGCTACTTCCATTGCAATTACTGTAAAATCCCAATAACAAAATACTAACAAGAAAAGCAACACCATTGTTACCCCCTTTAAGTTTCAATTCCTAATGCCCATTTCCTGTTATCATTGTTATATGCAAATTTACATATCAATCATACAACGACACGATACATTCAAGGATTTTTCCAACTCCTGAATAAAGAAAAATGGTGAAGAAGAAGAAGAAGAAATCAATTAATGAATTCTTGGTGCAGGAAACGGGATCTGATGCTCTTCAACTTATAATAAAATTAATTATGTGCATATCAGAGCTAAATTATCTGAATTTATGTGCTAGAATTTACATGGATAGTAATAAACCGTGAGGAAGGAAGTAAACCTTTGGGCAAAAAATGGAAACAGCATTTTGGGTTCCAAAAGAGACCAAATCACAGGCATCAAATGAAACGTTGGTAACTATTATGTTGCAACCTGCTCCTATGAACACTCTCTCCACTTACACTTGAACTCCATCGATTTTAGCAGCCATGAATTGGACATGCTCAAGGGTTTGGAGATTTTATAACTTATTAATTATATTTTTAAATAATTTAATTAGTCAGGGTATTAATCAAATTAATTATTTTTTTTAAGAGTATTTGGCCTCATTTATCCTTTTTTTGAAATTAAAGTTTATATAACATGTGCTAAGTTTTATTCTTGGGATTTATGGTTGAAACTTAATTTAACTTGGATTAATTACAATATTTGCTTTTAAATATTTAAATACTTATTTTCATGTGTTTTTGCTATTGTTATTTCATGCCTTTTCATTTATATCGCTAATGAATTATTGTGTTTAATGATTTGTATATCGTTCGAAAGAAGATTGTACATTTTAGACTAAATAGTAGAAACCCTAAGCTTTGTATGGAATAGAAATATACTCTTAACCTTAGGTGACCCATTGAGCTATGTGATTGTTTGGTTTTAATTGACATAGAGATATAATAGGTTAAACTAATCAATTGTGGTTAATTTTACTCGAAAGAGGTAATTGACTAAAATTGAAAAATCGAGACTAAGGCCCCGTTTGGTTCACATTATTTTTTTCATTCTAATTCTTCTACTCATTTTCAATTACACATTTTTCAATAAAATAATATTTTCCATCACATCAATAACTTTTCCTTCTTTTTCAATCACATATTCCCCATCACATTTACAGTAAAAATGCATTTTTACCTTCAAAATGTGCACCAAACGGGGGCTAATATCGTAAATGAGTAATTTATTAATTTACTTGTGGAGAAACTAATTAGATCACGGTAAAGTGAAACCATAAATCCCAACTACATTTTCCTTCGAAATTTCCAAGATTTTTATGTTTTATTATTTTCATATAGTTTTTAGTTATTTTCTCATTTTTAAAATCATAATTTTAATTGTGTATTTCTTTTTATTGTTAGAATTAAATTAATTAAAGTTTTTTAATAGAAAGTAAACCTTTCTCGAGGAATCGACAACTCAGACTCAAAAAATCCACTTTATTACTTGAACGAGACTTGTGCACTTGCGGTTTGCACTTTCATAGCAAACACGCAGCATCAAACAAATGCATTTTTAAATACAAAATAATAATTTACAATGTAAAACACTTCAAATTAATAACACCTCTAAATTAATACTCAAGGGTGGGATATTACTTTAGGGGGATTCTATTTCTGCTGTAATAGAAAACCCTCTTTTTTCAAATGTCTATATCTAAAATTCCGAATATAAGCCTCACTGAAATAAAGAAAATTGCGAAAAGGGATAATGATCATTTCCACTCTAAAATAAAGACAAAAAAAAAATAACGAAACAGCATCATAGATCGGTCAAGATTAGTGATGACAAGACGATAACATAAGCTACAAAGAAGAAGATTGCTATTTGAAGGAAGAATTTCGGATTCTCTCTCATGTTTGGAGATGTAACAGCCCTGTAATATAGAAATTAGACGCTTTAGCGAACTTACGAAGTATTAATATACAAATACAGCTGATTCCAAGACTAAGAGCATGCTTGGCTAAGCTTAAAAGTCGTAAAAGCTGCAAGTAACTTTTTTCAAAACGTGTTTGGAGAGCTCACCTTTTTCTTACTTCAATATATAGAAGATTGTTTATTCGTTATACTACTTTATTGGGTTCAACTTAGAGCAATAAAAAAAATTAAAAACTTACTTATTTACTTAAGAGTGAACTAAAAGCTTAGCCAAACATGCTCTAATATGGGTATAAGAAATTACCTAGCAACGCGTTGAGAAAGGCGATGGAACGGCATACTTTGGATGAAGACGATATCAGGTCCAGTTAGGACAGCAGTCACTAGATTGTCAGAAACACGGTTAATGAACTACCAAAAACTTAAAAGATAAAAACAAATGACATTAGAAATGGTTTGAGAAACTGAAATATCAACAGCTGTTAAATTATTTCGAGTCTGATGAATAGCAAATGGGTGACGATGACATCAGAGAGAAAATCGAAAAATAAATAGTCCGTGTTGAGCATTAATTTTGTTATATTATAGTTTCCACGGGAAGATGATGAAAAGAAGCCAAAGACAGCAAATACAACTTTTTGAAGATTAAAACTGAATAACAAATTATGTGGATAAAATCACTCTAAATAGCAGGCAAGTTGAACATATATATGAATACAATAAATGCAAGAAGACCATGGACAGGTAAAATAGCATGGCTTTTGACAGGGAATCTCCATAGTCACATTGTTGGATCGGAACTAAAAATGTTTGGCAGTTTTTTTTAGCTCTTAAGAGCCCATTAACTAAGATCTACCAAAAACACAGAGACATGCACGGCTTGGCAAACAACGAAGAAGCAAAATTTGAGTAAACACAAACAACAAAGGAGAAATTTATTGCAAATAACCTTGGGGTTGGTTACAGCATTTTTCTCCAATTGAATAAAATATCTTCTACAACTACCATAGGTCGTATTAGTTTTGACCTACCTCTCCCTCTGCCAACCAAAAATATGCAATACTGTAGGAAAAATAAATTTGGGCAATGAATGGATTCCAGGCTTTTGGACCCACCTCTCCCTCTACTAACCAAAAATGTGAAAATACCGTAGGAAAAATAAATTTGGGCATTGGAATGGATTCCAAAAAGCATATTCTGTTCGAGGAAAAGGCACCATAAGAGATAATTTCCAGCAGCTACAGTAACAAGGTGTTACACAATCAATTATGAATCTGAAGCTTGTTATCCTAATAGACCGAAACTAACATATTAGAACTATTTTTCAACCAAGTTCACTATCATTTAACTTAACGTGATCATTGTTGTGATGTGGATGACTCAAAACTATCTTGAAATACTACTACTAAGCCTCCGTTTGGGAAGAATTTATAAATGGTTTAATTCATAAATAAGAGGAATGAGTGGTGGATAAGTGGATACTATTGGTGGGTCGCTTTGGAATGTGTGGTTCACAATGAAGTTTGATCGGGTATAAATGGATTTATAAATTTTTCCAAACAGAGGCTACAACTTACATATTCAGTTCATGCTAATCAATATCACAGCAGTCTACAGCCAGCAAAAGAAGAGGTGACTGAGAACCCCAATCACAGATATGCTTCACTTCTCTCAAAAGTATTTACAGCATTAGGAAGCCAAATATATACCAAGTGCGGGAGATTTCTGTTTTAGGGTAGAATTATTTTCGAAAACTACATAATGGCAGCTACCTGAACATTTACTACAGATATTTGGAAAGGTTTTTGCGCCTTTTGGATCTTATGATGCAACTTCAAGCTAGGGGTGATGCATCGATTTTCTTCACTTTACACTTTTAACTATACGCATTAAAACGTGTTTGATGTATAGACTTTTTAATATACACATTTAAATGTGTACCTAGACTTCCAAAACAGAGTATATTTATAGTCAACCCAAACAATATTTCCCGATCCCACACCCATTCACCTATTCAAAGAAACCAAGAACAGCCCCAATGGGCTTGCCTGTTTGATAAACAAATCTTTACTTATCCAATATCCATAAGATATTCTTTAAAACATACTATTGCACTTCTCATTTCAACCTCTATGAAAAAACAAAATCAGCCTTAAAATTCTTCATTTTTCGCTGACCAAAATGAAAATTTTTCATTCAAACTTGAGGGAAATCCAGAAACCTCTACTAATCATAAAACCCAAATCCAAATACTAGACTTATTAGCACTTTCAAAACATGGGCTGATCATGACCTGATGCATGGTTCACAAAATTTGACATACAACTAAAACTAGAATTTACATATGGAAAGGTGTCCATGAAATATTTACAAACTAATAAGGAATCAAAATGTGTAGGTCACAAGTCACAACAAGCAAATCAAATCAAGTACAACAATTATTTCTGGAGGAAAAATAACAGAAGGAAAACTCACCCCGAATACCACCCTTCTCATGGGACCATTATATTTGATTTGCACATTAACTAATGCTGATAATGCAACAATGTTGGACACATCAACAGCAAGTACTTCACCGACTTCGAGATTTTTCTGTACAACTAACAAAGACAAAAGATGGCAAAGAAAAATCATCACAATAGATGTGATATGATTAAGCTAGAAAATGACCAGAACTTGAATCAGAGTGATCTAGCAAAATATAAGACTTATTTTTTTCCCATTATTTGAATATACAATTGGTAGGTACCATTGATCTAATTAGATTATTAGCCTTTCAATCAAAGAAACACCCATTATTGTTTGATCAAATCAAGGCCTTAAATGAAAAAGTTAAGTTCATCCTAAATCAAATTCTATATTTTGAAACTTTTCATCTTCATTAGAATATGAACTTTATGTCTACCATTTTACTTAGTATTGAGTCACTTGTCAAATGCCGTTTTGACCAAGTAGTGCATTTCTCTTTTCTGTCACTGAACTCATGAGCACCTAAACTACATGCAGGATAGGATCTTATTTCTGAATAACACTGGCCTTTGAAAGTTTATTGATACAAACTTCAATTTTATAACTGACTCTCATTTCAGATATCATTGTAATCACTTAACTCTCTTCATTTTGGGTTTTGGTGACGATGAGTGGGGTGGCAGAACCGTACATTTTTTGTTCTTGTTTATCGTGGATCTCTCTGATTCGGTTCCCTAAAAACATTAAGAAAAGGGTTTTGGATCGCTGACATGAAGATAATCTATTTAGCTGGTCATCACATCTGAATGAAAGCTATATTTTCAATATAGCAGAATTGTTTTTCTTATCGGGGCCCATTTGATCATTTGATGTTGCAATCATTTTTTTCTGCAGGACAACCTACAATGCTAGTCCCTTGTGCTCATCGTTTTGCACAACAAATTGAAGTTTTTGAGCATGAGTTGCATAAGTAGTTGCTTTTTGGAGTTCAAAATGTCGCTACTTGATCAAAAGGATAGGTCGTTTTGTTGGAATTAATTGATTTATTTGGATCATTAAATATATTGTTTAATGATATTTATTTGGGTCATTAAATATGTTATGTAATGATGTGGGCCGTTGTAATTAATTTGGGTGA